TGTGTGTGTGTGTGTGTGTGTGTGTGTGTGTGTGTGTGTGTGTGTGTTTGTGTCCAGGATTAGTGGTTGTGGGCAAAGCAGACTTTGGCTTTCTCTGAAACTACTGTTTCAAAAGCAGGAAGGAATTTGTGTATTTCATGTAATGAAATTAAACATTTCTTGGCCATCTTTCCATGTCAGTTTATGGAAAAATACCTCATTCCTTATATGACTTCTGCTGACTGTTCCACTGTGTAGTCCCACATGGCTTTTTGAGCCATCCCCTCTTGGTGGACATTTAGGCTATTTCCACTCTTATGAGCACATTGCAGGGTCCTTGAGGACAATGGGATGGCTTGTGAGTTATTTTTCTTGAACATTTTTAGACTTTGGTTTAAATGAACAAATATTGGGGTATGGGAAGACCAAATCAGGATAAGTGTACCAGTGGTGGTGGTTCCCAGAAGCACCCCCAGTACCTGGGTCTGGTGTTGCAAGTGAAAGGTCACGGCCGTGCTGACCTCCCCGGTTTCATCCCATACCTCAGAGGAGATGATGGCTGACCCCACCTGGGTGCTTAGAAACCTGTGGGGAGAAGGGGAGCTTTTAAGGGCACCATATCAGTTAGCTGTGCGGCAGAGGTCATGGATGGCTGAGGTCATCTCATCCAGGCCCCTGTGTGGGAGATGACACCCTCTGTGTCCAAAGAAACACGAGGAAATATCCTGTGCTTGAAATTTGGGCATCTGGGTTCCAGTCTTGCCTTGGGGACTTGGTGGTAAATTCAGTAAGCCCTGTCTTCTCTCTGAGTCTCAGCACTGACGCCAGGACCCTAGACAGTAGTTGAGCCAGGTTCCAGCAGCATATCTTTGGAAGGCCCAGAGATGTGCGTGTCTCAGGGATGGGGAGGGTTTGGCTCTGGTTGCTAAGGGCAGAATTACCTACCAGAATGATGGCTCTGGGATGGGATGGAGGCCTGGCCTTCCCTGGGGAGGGGATCCAGACCCTCAGCAGCCTACTGGGTAGGGCCCACTCACCTCTGCAATTTGCTTGCCTCTTCTGAGCTGTCAGGGGCCTGGGGCTCCAGGCCAGGCTCCCCTAGGGTTTGCCGGAAGACACTCGAGCTGAACCAGCTGTGGATCACGGTGACTCCAGAGAGGCCTGGCTGAGTGGGAGGAGGCCTAAGACCCCACCCTGTGGCTGAGCAAGCACCACGGGTTGGCCCCGAGGGAGATGCTCTGCCCACCTTACGATCAGGGAAACTGAGGCTCAGAGAGATTAATTGACTTCTCAAAGATCACCCGGTTAATAAGTGGAGAAACGAGAATTCCAACCAGCAACAGGGCATGCACTTAACTTGGCAGCTCTAAAGCCCTTTGCCTCATGTCCTGATTCCCCAGCCCCGGGTGACAGCAAGGGTGGCGGCTCCCTCCACCACCCACTTCTAAGAGGAAATGTGTGGGGTTCAGCGGAGGAGACCAAGTGAACACCTACTATGTGATAAGCACTTTTAACCCCACAGCAGCTTACAAGGCAAGTACTAGCATGACAGTCTTCCAGATAAGGAAACAGGCTGTGAACAGTGAGGTGACTTATTCAAAACAGCAGAGTTAACCCAGGGCTAACTGGCGCTAACCCAGACCCCAGCAGGGCCCCACCACCCTCACCCACCTTTCCCGAGGAGGCGCTCCACTTCACCTGCGGGGATGCGGATGTGGCCGGGCCCCTCCGGATGCCCACCGGGCACTGTGAACACATAGCCCTCCGTGCCAGCCTCCGTCAAGCGTAGACTCCGCACCTCCAGGCCTGGGATCAAATGGGGTTGGGCGGCTGGACCTTCCAAGGGAGGTCTTTCTGCAGAACTGGCCTAGCCAGCAGGGGCTGCCTTCCCTCTCCCCACCACAGGCCTGGGCCACTATTCCAGCTCAGAGAGGTTCAGCGACTTGCCCAAGGGAGATCTGACTTCTTCAGGTCTAGGGGAGGGGATCACTAGAAGCAGGTCCCTGGGGGGGGGGGGGGGGGGGGCAGGACCTGACTATCAGTGAGCCGTCAGAAACCACTGGGCGCCTGGAGGACACAAGTTTTGCCAAAGTTCCCCATAAGTGATCTCCCCCAGTCAATCTACAAACACTCACTGAGTGTGTACTTGGGTCTGGCCTGAGATCCAGAAATGACTCAGAAATACCCCTGGCTTTCAGGGAGCTTTGGCAAAAACAAAGTAATTACCACAAAATGCAACAGGAGATATTTCCAAGACATAGGGGTAACAGCAAGAGGAGGAACTGTCAGGAGAGAGCTAAAACCAGGCAAGGCATCCTAGAGGAGCTGATGCCCAAACAAGGTTCTGAAGGCTATACGGGAGTTTGCTAAGAGGTCGAGGAAGAAAGGGCATTGCGGATGGAGGGCGCAGCACAGACAAAGGCAGGGGACAGAATGGAGTGTCTGCGGTGGTGCTGACAGCTCCCAGTGACCAAAGCTGAGAAGAAATGTCTGAGCCCGGGCCCCCCCAGGGCCCAGATGTATGGGACGGGTGCACAGCAGGCTCACCGACACAGCGACGCTGGATGTGCATTTGGGGCCGCCCAGGGGTCAGCGTGGTGCTCAGCAGGGGCGCCAAGCGCTGTAGACTTGCCACCAGGGCCATGGGTCCACCAACCACCTGGGAGGAGCCACATCTCAGCCCCTCCTGCTTTGCACCTGCGGCTGCCAGCCGCGACCGGTGTAGTTAACACATTCTCAGAGATCTGTGAAGTGGCCTGCCTCCTCCAGACCCTCGGTGGCCCCGTAGGGCCTCCAGGATCAAGTCCTGGGTCCTCAGGCTGGTGTTTGAGGCCCTGCCCGATCGGCCTCCTCTGACGCCTCCAAGCCACGTCATCCTCCAGCCCAGGCGAAGGCCTGGTAGTCCTCCGTGCCTGCTGGCCGGTTGTTTGCTAGCTGGGCACACTCTGCAGGCGGGGCTGTGCCTCCCCCTCCTTTGATCTCACTCTGTGCTAGACCTATAGAAGGGACTCGACCTTTCGGTTCCAAAAGGGAAGCCGTGGGCGGGGGGGTCCGGCCCGGTGGGGCCCCCGCCCGCCCGCTTGCAGTAATGGAACAGCTACTCTAGGCAGGGCAGGTATGATCACCTCTGTTCTCCAGGGAGGAACACCAGGGTTCAGAGTCTAGCTTTTCCTAGCCTACCACAGTGCCTCAGTCCCTCAGCCAAAAATGGGTTTATACCCTTCCCAGGTTGGGCGCTCGCTGCCCAAACAGGGGAACCGTTCTGTGGAGCCGGCCTCCCATGCTGTGTCATCTCCACCCCGTCCCCAAGCCTAGGTCCCCGTTCTGTCCTCCAAGGCCACAGAGGCACCATCTCTGCTCCTTCTGCCCCAAAGGCTTTCAGGTGATGTCTATGATCCCTTGTTCTCTCCTTTCTCTAGGCCAATCACTCCCAAGCCTACAGCCACTTCTGCCAGGACGACGTTTCTAGCACCCATGCCATCTGGATAGCATCTCTCTATGCTCTCCTGAGCATCTGGGCTGTTTTGGAAGACAAGATGGCTGAATACTCAGCATAGAGGACCTGCCTCTGAAGGTGGTCAGCAGAATCTTGCATATGGGGGGGATCCTTATGGATTCCTGGCTCTTATTTTCAACCACAGAAGCTATTATTCAAGAACAGTTGTATGTGGAAGTTCAAGTTACATCACAGGTAAAAGAGGAGCTTCTCTCGAACGCAGAGACGGACCCAGCGATGGGTGCTGACTCACCCACGGCTACACAACAAGCTGGTGGCAAGGACGGCAAGCCCCCCTGCCCCACCCAGCCCTGCCAGCCTCACCTCGCTGATTGAGAGCCACGCGCCAGCCAGCTGCTCCTCCAGGACCAAGCTGGCCACAGACACGATGCCCTGGCCTAGCTGCTCCCAGGGCCCTGTTAAGGGTTCTGGCTCCCCAGCCCCGAGGGCTGTCACTCTCTTTAGGAAGTGCACGACAGCCAGCAGTGCAGCCGGCCCCAGTGGAGCGGACTCCTTTGCCAGGACCTTCTCCAGGATACCCAGGAAGCTGGAGGCCTCAGCCAGCGACAGGTGTCCAGGGGCTTCAGAGAGGGGGTCAGGAAGCAGCTGTGGGCAGAGGAACCACTTACTGCCGGCCTGGCTGTTAGGAAGAGATCTCCCAGGGATCACACTTGGGCCCCACTAGGGTCTTCTTAGTGGGCACGTGTCTAACCCAGCTCTCCTGAGCTCCAAAATAGGGAATATGAACAACCTTAATCCCTGAAGACACATTTGGTGGGTGTCCCCTTTATAGGTGAGGAAACTGGGCGGCAGGGAGGTGACCCATAGTGTCCCCAGACTCCTCGGCCCCCCAGGAAGGGGGCTCACCACTACGGTCTTGGCCAAGGCATTGACTCGGCTGATAACATCCTGGCCAGGCCACGACTGGGCATCCTGCAGCCGCTGATAAGTGTCTGCAAAGGAGGGGATGCCAGGCTGGGTCCTGAGCAACACCGCCCAGAGGTGCGCCACCCACCATTTGCTGCCGAGGGAGGAAGAGCATGTCGATAGCTGTGCGTCCGGAGCCTTACACAGTGTTCTAGATGGGGAAACTGAGGCATACAATGGCAAAATCATTTGCCCAAGGAACACAGCTGGGGTTCGTCCCCAGGTCTGTCTGGCCCCGCTGTCCTGTGGTTTGAACTCCGTGGAGACCCTGAGACTTTGAGAAGATTTTAAATTCCCAGTTTGTGCCAAGTGCTCACTCCCTCTCAGCCTACACTGGTCCATGCCCAGTTTCCCCTTCAGCAGAGCCCTGGGGACTGCCAGGGCGCACCTGTCCGGTAACAGCAAAGGAAGAAATGTGGTTGAAGGCAGAGCAAAGAGCCCTCGGTGCCGGATCCTGGGTTCCACGTAGGGCACTCTTCTGAGGGCACTGGCAGGGATGGGAGAAGTGTCAGCGCTTTATCCTGGTTCTCCAGCAGTCCCTGGAGTCAGTCACCTGTTCGGGCCTTGAAGGCACCTGCACACCTTAGGGGGCCAGGACGCGTACGTAGCCCCGGAGTTAGGGGGCGACGTGGTAACCCGGGTGAAGGACGCTGCAGCCAACACAAGGCTGGGCAAGGCGGCCAAGGGTCGAGCCTACTCAGGCTACTGGGACTGGGCTTTTTGCCCGACGTCTGGGCGGCTTGGGGGAGCGTGACCAGAGCTGGGCGTGGCCAGGTTCACAAGTGGTGGGCTGGATCTTGAGCTCACAAGGAAGCGCGCAGAAGCCAGGGGGCGGGGCGTTGAGCCGAAAGGCGGGACGGGGCCTACGAGCCAGAGGGCGGGGCGGGCCATACCTGGACAGAGCAGGCGCACCCGCAGGGGCGGCAACAGCGAGGGCGTGACGTCCAGGGCGCCCAGGTCCCAGCGGAAGAGCAGGCCGCTGGGTGGCGGCGCGCAGGCCCGTGCCCGACGCAGCTGCGCGGGGCTCAGGGCCCGAGCCCACAGGTGGAAGTCGGTGAGGTTGCCGCTGAAGGCATCGCGCGCCGAGAAGCCACCGCCCAGAGAGTCCTGATCCTGGCCCAGCACGAGGATGCCACCCGCTGGCACCGGGTGGCCCGCGCCCAGTCCCCGCGCCCCGGCGCGCCGCCGCCCGTCGGCAAACAGCGCCCAGCGCCCGCCGCGCTGCTCCCACGTGGTGCACACGTGGTGCC